CACGACCACACTACCACACGACCACACTACCACACGACCACACTACCACACGACCACACTACCCCTACCACCATCACAACTGCCACAGGACTACCAGATCATCTTCTGCACACTTCTTGGGGTCTCTTGTGTTAAATGGTCTGGGAAGCCTAGGGTTTTGTGGTTGTCCCAGTTCCCAAGCCTCAGCGAACTCCAAGTGCTACTTCGGGGTGATTCCGTGGACTGCGGACCGTGGACGGCTGGTCTGTCGTAGGAGGCGTTTCAGAAGGAAGAGATCTCCGAGTCCGAGCTGAAGGACGATGAACGGGGACGAACGGGGACGAACCGTTTGGAAAGACTCCAAGCGGTGATGAATTAATCCTCATGGTTCCTTTTGTGCACAAATTAGACTATAATCATCCTTAGCCACCCAGCAATTTTCAACTTCCAATTAGATATTAATGGTGTTAAAATGCATCGAAACACAACCAGGCGTGAACTGTGCAGTCCTGCAAGTGATCCTTTCCCCTGCGTTCGTGGGCTGCTTCATTCAATTCACCTCCCCTCTTTCTTTTCACTGGTGTCGTTTTCCTCTTCCGCCATGTGCCAGCCGCGGCGACCGGAAAAGCAACCGCTCAACTCGCCTCAGGAGTTGGACGCCTTCTTCGCACGGATCAACCCAACAGGCTCGCGATTCGCTCGCGCGCGGCCTTGGGCGGCGGGTGGTGGAGCTACGAAGGACTCGATGGCAAATGAGTTTTTTGGGGTTGGACGGTGACGAAGATGTGTTGTGTCTTTTCCACCTGTATGTTCGGGATCAATCTTGACCAGGTGCTTTAAGCTACTCCTGTGATTATTTTTTTGAGAATTGTGCACTGGAGCGGTGGGTCGTTTTGCAAGGTCATCGATCATCGCTTCGATCATTTTGGGGTGAGGAACACTGCGATTTGGGCCGTGACGACTTCTTCAGCCAAAACATCTCCGGGGCGGCGTGCACTGGCGCGCCAGGTCTCCCAACGTAATCCAACCGTCCCCGAACCGAGTGCCACCCTCGCCACGCGCCCCCAAAACCCGAACCCCCCCCCCCCCGCGGCCCACGGCGTGCATGGGCAGCAACGCCGGACGCCGGACGCCGGACAGCTGCCGGCGGCCAGGCCGTGCGACGACGCCACCGGAGCTGCTGGCCGCCGCGGGGAATCCCAAGTTGGGCCTCGCACGGCACCTCCGAGGCTGGCAAGAGTGGCGCCTACACTGGGGGGCATGCGGGCGACGTGGGTGCACGGCAGTTGTATTGGGGCAAGAGAGAGTGGAGTAGAGTGGCAAAAATCGTCCAAAAACCATCAAAAACTAACCATGTGGTATGGGGCTATATGTTCCAAGACCTGAACCAACACGCATGTTTTTGGCGATCTGTAATTCTCTGATTGAAGCAGATTGAGTCAGATTGGCATGCTTGAGACATCGATCATTTGAGTTGAAGTCAGCTTGAAACTCTAAAGCTGGGATGCACAAAACCACGCAAAAGACACAAAGCACCCTCAAGCACTTCTTGGACACAAGGGGGGGGGTTGGGCTTCTCCTATTTCTTTTAAGCCCAACTCGGCCCGGGATTCCCCTCGAGCCTCACGGATCCCCCAGCCTCGCCCCAGCCGCTCGCTGCGGCGAGGCTTGGTGGCCAAGGTGGTTTCTCAGCAAGGCGGGAGGTCCAAACGACCAGAGACGCAAAGTGAGGCGTGTTGGTCTGGAAGGTGAACCGGGTGACCCCCCGGGAACCCATGGAGTTGCTTGGTGCCCAGAAATGGGGTTGTTGGTTGCTGCAAACAAAAGAAGCACATCATAAGACAGGTACATCATAAGAAGCACATCAAAATCAGGTCGGACATAAAATCACCTGTTTATACATGGGTCCAAATTCCACCCGTTGTGTTCATTCATTGAATACTACCCATCGTGTTCACCAGTCCCATGACGGAACTGGCGGTTTCTGAGACCTGGTGCAGGGAGAGAGATGGTGGCGCAAAAGCACCTCGCGAACAACTTGGGTTGCCCAAACACGACATATGAGCCATTTTGGGTAGAAGGACATAGAAGTATAGAAGCAACTACACTCCCTGAAAGAATCTTTGGTGGAGGAAAACCAACTGTTTGGTATTCGGGGTTCGGGGCCATCCACATAACCATGATGATTTCGTATCCAGTGTCGTGTGTCCAAATATTCCGCCGCCTCATGACATCGTTTTTTCAATCAAAGCACTGTGGTCTACCTGGTCTTGCCGATCAGGTGATGTTTGCAGTCCACTGTTTCTTTCCTTGTTTAAGCATGTTTAAGCCATTTTGAGAATGAACACTTCATGTCATGGGAAAACACACATTTTATAACCACTACCACTACAAACTTGATAAAGCTAAGCCATTTAGCCTTTCCACTGGGCCAGGGAAGCCGACGGCAGAGGCCAGGGCCGCGAGGGCCGCGGGAACGAAGGTCGGTCAACGGCGATGGCCGAGCCGAGCGATGGCCTCCAACCTGCTGATTTGCACGACGTGCCACCGGGACTCGGAACAGGGACTCGGACTCTCTCTCTCTCTCGCTGTCTCTCGCTGTGTTTGAAGAACGGGGTCTACCCCCAACTGTTGTGGGGCATATACCAGCCATTCCTGCGACGCTTCTTCCGTTGAAAGATTTTGAAGGGGAAAGGTGCTTGGATCATCAGAGGGAGGAGATGGTCAGCGAGGGCAGTCACGACTGGATGGCTCGTTGGATGGCAGTCGTTGACCTTGCCGGAACACCACGCCCTTTTCCCAACAGTCCACCCCACAAGACTCATGTTAGTAGCAAGGGCATCGCTACTAGTATAGCTTCTTGTTACTAGTAGTATATATAATGGCGTCCTTGCTACCAGTAGCGATGCACCTTGTTACTAGAATGTCAGATGTTGTTGCCATGTCCGACTTCACTTTGGTGCTTGGGCTGGTGTTCCATGCCACCATTGAGCATTCTGAGAGGTAAAGGAGCAAGATGCCAAATTCGCAAGCTATTTGACGATTTGCCATCCTCATTCAAAGTAGGCAGGCTTCAAGGAGGAGAACACTTGGTGTTGTTTGGCCCGAAAGAAGGGCTCGGTCAAGTATGACATCAAGTGGTCTCGGTTCTTGCGAGCGGTGCAGGGCATATTCGAAAGGTTGATCCTTTGGATGCGTGCAACGCGCAAATGACATGCACATGGCATGCTGGCATGCTGGATATGGATGCTTCCAACGTTCCGATGTACCGATGTCAAAACACCAGGTTCCCACTGCACCCAGAGAGGAAGTGATCTAAGGGTAATTCAATACTTTCCTCGGACTGGCAGACCTCTTGTTCAACCCGTCCCTGCGAAACCTAACTGCCTCCGGCCTCCGGCCTCGCGTTCGCAGGGAGAGACAGCAGCCAAACCTGGCGAGGCCTGCGAGTTGGTGTGTTGTTCTTTTTCCTGGTGTGGCAAGGACACAAAACGTCGACAGCAAGAGAATGAGCAGAAAATACCTGGTCATAAAGAGATATCCCAGCCACCAGCCACCTGGACTAAGGGAAAAAACACAAAAACACCCCACAGCTGAACCGAATTCGACAGCTGCTGGTCCGCTGAACGCCGAAGCGACGGCCTCCACCGGCAAGGCGGAGAACGCCAGCGCCACCGCTGTTCCGGCGGAAGCGGCGGCTGCGAAGGTGCGGGTGGACGACGGGGGGGGGTGTATCATAAACACCGGAACTACTACACCCGGCAAGGTTAACATGGAACCGGGCGAACGGCAATGGACCTGCAAGGAAGACTACTTTCCTCTACAACCTGACGTGGTTTTCAGGTTCCATGTTAATCTTCCAGAGTGTAGGGGGAATGGAATGGAATGGATGGAATGATCCAGCTGGTGAGCCATTCGGGGTGAGGTGTTTCATGGTGTATCATGGTGTATCCACATTCCATATCATGAACTCTGGGCAGCTGAAGAGCCCCACAGTTTTGAAAAAAAGAGTGAAATATCGAGTCAATATGTGGGTTTGACACTGTTCATTTGATCCGTAGTCAACCAAGGGTTACAGGGTTTTCGGTCGCAGGGAGCCAGCGACTGTGCATGCGACATCGGAGCCGACACACAACCACAGCTGGGGAAGCAAACCCACAGGGAACCCGTAAAAATCGCGGGTGACATCTGGTGAACCGTGTTCTGGTCAGAACTTTTGTTGATGAATCAAGACCAAATTGGTCTCCGGAATGCAACTATTCAACTTTCCAGATCCTCGCCGACAAGTTTTTCATGCATGCCCAAGGTTTGCTGCCAATTTCCAGGAGGTTTGTGCCGCATTTCAAACGTAAATAGATACACATTTGAGAATCTGGTGCTTGTGTTGGTGTTGATTCTCAAGGAATGAGGACGTTTGTCTGACTTTGACCAATAATTTGCGCGCAAGATATTTTGCACTTTGCATCGCATTGGATGGAAACATATGTAAAACGATGTAGACTTCTTTTTGGCATTGCGCCTTCTAATGGCCTCTGGTTTGTTAATGGGAAAGCTGGGTTGCTAGGAAGGCAACCAGCACAGCGTTTGAATTTGCAGGCAGAGAAAGCATCTCCTCCTGCACCCGAACCTCATGGATCAAAGGCTTGTAAGATGGTTTTCTTGGACTTAACTCTGTGATTATGGTGAGAAGACGGCTGGACAGAGCTTAGTGTGTACATATATATATATAGGAATATAGGATATACATATAGAGTGCATCGGGCGTGACACATGGCCCATGCACTAGGCATATCAGACCAAGTCTCCATCTTGTCCCTGCCATAAACGAACTGAGTAGAAGCGCCGCCCCAAGCATTCGAGCAACTCGATCGTGTGAGAGATTGAAGTAGCTTGCCCAAGCTTTGGCTTGGCAACCCTTTTGAATGCCTTGTGCCTTGTAGAATAATTCCTGCACGCAGGACTTTATTTGCACATTGCTTTGTATTGGCTGGAAACAGATGTGAGCTTCTTAAAGTTGCCTTCGAAGCCGAGCCCTGCGTTTTGTGCGTTTTGACCCTCGACACTACATATAACTTGTGATGTTACATGGGGGGTGGGGTTGGGGTGGGATAATGACGTTGATGTTACATGGGGGTTGGGGGGGGGGGGGTGGGGTTGTGGTGGGATAATGACGTTGATGTTACATGAGGGTTATGGTGATGTTGACATTACATGGGGGTCACCATGATGTTGATGTTACATGCAGGTTTCTCTGATGTCGACGTTACATGGGGGTTACAGTATGACTTTTTACGGTAGCTGGAGCACCGCCCATAGAGGGCCGTGGTGTTTCTTGTTATTTTTGATGTTTTTAAGTGTTTTTTCCTGTGATAAGCATGGGTTCTCGAGGGTGCGGTGGGGTGTGTGGGGGTGGGGCCGGGATAATAACGTCCGTTGTCGATGCAGTATAGGTTGTGAGTCACGGTCTCTTCCCCGGAAAAGTGCTTATATGTTCCATCAATGTCATATTCTTTATGCGTTATGCTTGGCACAGTGTCATTTCCGTCAAGCGCGTGCGTTGTATACCGCAGTTTTCCAGGTCTCAGTATGGTGCGTTTATCCTTTCTGCTTTGTCTCTTGCTTTCATTTTGTTGTTGTGGTTGGGACACTGGACAGGGGTGGATGAAGTTCCGCACTTGTTAAACGGGTTGTTTGAGGCGGACCCGTTCTACATTGATAGCCTGTTGAAGACCTTTTGTGATGCTTCCACCCCTGATCCTTTTGTGGATAGACGGCCTCTCAACTTTGAAATTCATTGCATGAGAATTACTTACAGTTTGGCACTCCTTCTACCAAGAAATGTTACTGCAAGCTCTATGTGCGCTGCAAGAAGTCTGATTGCAGGGCTCGCTTCAATGTCTCTGACTTCTCAGTCTTCAAAGGGACTCGGCTAGCTTTGAGAGATCTTCTGTGGCTGACACTCTTCTATGGGAGAGTGAACAGTGAACAAGAGTCGCTTCCCACTGGTAAGCGATGCTCAGTCACAACTGCACCTTGGGCGCACAAAAATCCAACATGTGTTTGATAGACTTCTCTATACCAAGACTCTAGCCGGAAAAGCTTTTAGCCGCAGCGCTCACAAACTCGCTGGGGCTGTTGAAGGTGATGGTCATGCTCTTCGCAAGATTTATGTGAGTCGGGGAAATGCGACCTTGGCTTGTGAAGTTGAAGAGGCCACTGCAAGATGGAAAAAGCAGAATGGGTCCAAGCGACTCCCGAAGTACTGGTTGGGTCATGTGCGCATAGCTGCTCTAAAGAAGAGGAATGTGCCGGTGGTTGTGGCTCCCTTGCCGATGAAGTTGGTGCCACCCGGCTCAGCGCCTGGAGTTGAATCTTCCAAGGCAGGAAGCAGTTGGCAACTTTTCATGTCAGTTGCAACAAACACGAATTTGCCAAGAAAATCAAGTCCCGGAAACGCCCAGGGTTCGTTGTCTCAGGCGCACAATGTGTCGACAGATGGTGGCAAAGCTTGGGGAAATCGGTGCCGAAGTCACTCAAAGTGAAAGAAACAAAGGGGGGTGGCATCTCGCAGCGCCTGATGAACTACTTTTACGCTTTCGTTTGGCGTGCCAACTTAGATGCAGATGTTGACCTGACAGGAGCGCTCGGGAAACTCTGAAAAAGGGTTTTGCGGCAACTACTTCGGCCGGCCGTCGAAACAAACAACCACGGAAACGGGGCAGAAATGCTGAAATTTGCAGCGTGAAATGCTCTTTGTCTCCCTAAAGCACAGGTAACTCACCTACCTTCCAAACACCAAGGCCTCAAAACACAGAAAAGGTTCACAAAAACGAGCTCGCCAACGATACGTAACTGTAACAACACTGAGGCCCTAATACCAACGTGTGACCATGTAGAAAGCACCACGAGCACAGGGGTTGGAATTGCAGGGAGAGAAAGCATCTCCTCCTGCACCTGATCCTGTTGGATCCAAGGCGCGTGACCAGGATTTGGGTGCGGCAACTTTTTGGGCTCAATGAAAGGGGATAAACAAGCAAACTTGAAGAAAACAACATGAACGTTCCACATTCTGCGCAGCTATCAATGTCTTTGACGCAGTCCTGTTGTTGGTCAAACGCCAGTAGACCAATGACTGTGTTCGCAGTACCTGCTGACAGCAAGTGCTCTTGTTTCACATTGGAGGTCAGAATCTCCCCACCATAAAGAAAATAACAAAGGCTACTTTAGACTCTTGATTAACGACCCCCCTCCATTTGGATTGCGCAACCTCTTCATATTGGGGCTTTATTTATCAAGCGTCTACATTGACATTCTCATCCGCAAGAGGGGCGTTCACAAGCAAGTTGCAGGCTGAGAAGTCACCTGCTCCATTGCCCGAGCAGCGTGCTGAGGCCGAGACATGTGTCGCGGTGGCCGCGTGCACCTGTCTTGATTTCGCGCCTTTGTTTTGTTTCAACAATGTTAGGTCCAATAATCTATGGATACATCTATGGCATCTCGTGACAGGTTGATTAAGTTCATCGGGTCTTTCCATCATTTCGGCAGTAGGTGGCCAGGGCGCCAGCGGGTGTTGATTCCTCCACCAGCAACTTGTCACAGGGCGTTCCCATCGAATCGACTTGGCGTTCAGCCACCGGGTCTCAGCCCTGGGTTGCCACAGGCAGAAGAGGAAGCGGAGGAGGATGCCTTCACGAAAGAGGCACCGGATTGCAATTGGACGCCAGAAACAGTGAGTGTTTTTTTCAGGGTCTCAGGTGTCTACAGGATGATACAGGATGTTTCTGAGGAGAATTTGTTTTGCAGATTTGAGGATGACGTTCGACACTGGAGTTTCATGAAAAAGCTGCAGGAATGGCTGGAGTTCTTTCAGGATGATGAGGAAATCACAGAGGAGGACGTGTTTTTCTCCATCCTTTCCTTTTTCACAAGCTGCGCTAAACCAATGGCAAATACTTGGAAGGATGTTCTCTGCTGGGCATTGCAGTCTAAGACTTCGCCCAAGTAGAATGTTGCTGAAGTCTCATCAGGCGCAGCGCCTTTCTTATTGGAAACCCGCACCTACCCTTCAGAATCTGGCAGTCCTTTCGGAGTGTTTTTTCTGTGTGGTCTGAAAAAGGGGTATAGAAATATCTCTGAATGGATATTCCATGTACTTCAGCATCCTCTGGCAGCCTGTTATATTAACTGGCCGGACATGGCTTTTCAGTCACTCCTTCCAGCGTTCGTCTCTTCGTTTTGATCTGCGTTCGCTTCACCACTTCGGTCGCCCCGCACCACGCGGAGACGCTGGAGACGCGACGCGTCTATCCCCGGCACCACTTCGGCCACGACGGTCTTCGACACGTCACCGGAGCGTAGCGTTCGGATCGACGAGGACTTGGGTGTCTTAGACGACTTGTTGGACAAGATGGACACCTCAGGCCACTGGACCGTGGGGAGGGTAGTGAGGCGTGTGGACCTTGTGAGGCCTAAAACCCCAGGTTCCAGGCATTTGAGGTGGCAAGGCAGAGGCTGGCAATGCAGTTCCTAGTTTTAGAGGTGGCCGCTGATGTTCCCTGTTGGAGGGATTGAGAGGATGCTTGTGACGCTGGAGGTCTATTCCCGGGGGTGTCCTTGTGGCCCTGTCATTAAACAAAGGAGAGTTATCTTTTTTCTGGAGGATCTTTTTTGGATCTGCTTCTTGCTGCTTTCTTGCTTTTCCTTGCTTCTCATTGCTTTTGGGTGGTTGCTCCCGCTTTTCTTGCTTTTTTGTGCTTGTCCGTCCTGCTGTTTCCTTGTTGCTTTTTGTGAATGCACTTTTTCTTTTTTTAACCTTTCCTACCCCTTTTGCTTGGTTTGTTCTTCCTGGCTTTTCTCCTTTACTTTCCTTCTTCTACTCTTTTTGTGGCCTATTGATTCCCTGTCGTAATGGCCCTTTCTTTCTATGGTCTTTGCTGCTTTCACTTTTGATGAGTTACAGTTAGTTTTGCTCAACGGAATATAGTAGGGTAAGTCCTATGTCCTATCAAAAACGTGTTGGCACCTAACCGTAACTATAGGTAGGGCAGGATGAGACAGGACTTGTGGCACCATTTAAAGAGCAGCCTTGTATTGTATTGGGTTGCATGGGCAATCTGGTGATGTTTCGGATTATCTTCTTTTTGCTGCCCGATGACGTGGGATTTATACTCTCCGGACACAAAATCAACAATCAAGGCAGATGACGTGACTTGTGATTTTTTCGATGTTTTCGATGTATGCCTTCTAGATCCCGTGTCATCCGAAGGTAGTATAGCTTTTCCAGTTCCACTGAAGGAATAGAGAAACCACGACCGCACAAACAATTGCCCAACCGCAATGCTTTTGCGGTTCCACAGAAGGAACTCAACAAAATGTTCCAAGTCTGAACACAATTCACAAATGAACATGGACCCTCAAACCCCAAAAAGAGCGCTACGAACGGGGCTCCTGGCATCGGCCGAGAGGTCGATGATGTCGCCAGAACGGAGAAACGGTCACGCAGATGGGAGACCCAACTGGCCAGGTCTCCGTGTTTCATGGCTGGTCAGTATAACGCCTGGCGAACATGAAAGACAAGAATAGAAGAAGCAAGAAAGGACATGAAGGACACTAAAGTGGATCCCCTGTCAGAACATGCTGCTCGGCCACAACATGTTTGCTCTCTCAAGACAGCACATGACTTCTGGCGTTTCTTTTCACTTTTGGTGTACGTGTCTTTCTCTGTGCGCCAGTGACGAAGGCATTTTTCTGTGCACATGCTGTCCAGGGTCCCAACCGCGTTCTTCAGTGAGTGACCTAAAGGAACTACAGCATGCCAACGCCAGCTCTCGAGTTTCTTTCTTTCGTTCTTTTTCCTTATCCGCAGGTGATGGGCAGTTGTCTCCTCAAGAGATCTCAGAAGCCTTAGCGGATCCCAACTTCAAGATGCCCGAGGCCGTACGGCGCCGTACGGAGCCGTACCTCGCGGCGCTCCGCACCTGTTCGGACCGCGACGGTGGGCAGCGGTGTTTCAAGACGTGTTTTCAAGTCTTTCGTTTCAGAATGTATGTCTTAAGGCAAGACCATCTCCGTGGCTTTCTGAAAAGATGGAAGCCACCCGAAACCTGGGTGAAACACCAGCGGCGAGCAACGGAAGCCAATGGTCTAGGTGATCTCTATCGGTCAGCTGTGAAATCAATGAGTTCCTCCAGGCGATTCGTGCCAAGCTGATCGACTTCATGAAGAATGTCGGCTGACGGCCTCTGACGGCCGACGGCTGCATGGTGCCTGTGTTGGTTCTTCTGTGGCGGAGGCGCAGGCACCCTGGCGCTCCTGGTTCTTATTTGTTGTTATAAACCCCGTCACCGACTCACCGACTAGACTTGTCATGACTGAAGAATGGTTGTGCCGAAGAGCACTGGCTCCACCACATAAAGAGTCATGAGTCATGTCTGATTAAGCCTGCGATATCGCATGCCCTAGCCTTTAAAGACAATGTTAAACATGTTTGACCTGGTTTTTGTCGTGTAAAGTCCGCTGACATCTCGCCGAATAACGACCATGTTGATGTCGCAAACTCTTAGGCACGAATGTGGGGCCTCTTTGGGGCACGTGTTGCCCCTTTTTTGTTGGCCTCTTTGGTTCTCAACCTTACGGGGCTGGAACTACTTTCTGCTACCTTGGGACCTTGATTTCTGTTTTCCTACCCTTTCCTGCTTTGATGGTTAAATGTTTCCCACCACACTTAGCCACGGCAGTGTGTGGGCAGCGTGGTCATGGGTGCTTTGCACACCGCTTTGGTGGTGATTCTGGTGTTCATTTGTTTGACCCGCCTGCCTCCCGAAACTTGGAAGGTTCAGATTGGTCTCTCATCGGGCTGTGCTTGCTGACGTTCGGTTTCGGCCAAGGGGGTTGGACTTGTTGACCCCCAGCTCTGACGGTTGGACTTGTTGACCCCCAGCTAGGTGTGGGCCAAAGAAAGGTTCTCTTGTGGAGGGCGCCCTCTTTGAGGTCTTTTTGAGGTAGAAACCCGCGCCGGGGACCCATGGGTGAAACCAGTGGTTCAGCCCCTCAGATACATGGGTGGCGCCCCGGGAAGACGAGCCGCCGGAGTTCGGCCTCGGCGCCGCCGGGTGCGCTGCCGCGGGAGTCCGCGCGGAGATGGTGCAGCAGTGAAGCCCGGTGACGCTGCGCGGAGATTGGGACAACGCACCCAGCTGCGCGGAGGGTGGCTGTGGCCGTGGATTTCGATGCATTGACCTTAATGTCACGAAGGAGGTGGAGGTTGACAGTTTTCAGTTTTTTTCAGGAAGAAGGGGATGAAGTATGATTCTGGGTGGATGGAACCCTTTTGGGAGGAAGTAATCAAGTAATCAAAAAGAAGGGGTTCTAGAGATAAATGCTCAATGATCAGAAGATCATTTTTGTGATTTTCCTCAGCCATGAGGCTGAGCGATGCTCAACGGCAATGATGACAGAAGACAGTGCCTTCCGAACTTGACTATCTCGAGTCAACAGGTTGAGATTGCAGCGTTGAGGGCTCAAGTTCGTGTGTGACATGAAATTTCCCCAAAGCCCCAAGTGCTATGGGATGAATACATTAAACGTGGGTGTGTAGTGAATAGGGAGACCTCCCAAATCCAACCCCTGGAAGAAAGAGAATAGACATGAATAGACCACAAACCATTGGTGGAACGTTTCCCTGTTAAATTGCAAACCCACATGCAGTATATCAAGTCAAAAACATATTTCATGAACGTCATGCTGAATCAATGTGGCTCGCAGTGTTGAGGGCTCATTTTTCTTTTTAAGGACAACTGGTTTGCTCTTGTTTCTCGTAAGCGACACATCCCACCGGTCACGTGCTCCTTTATAGGCTAGCCTATAGGTTGCACGACCACGTGCGAAAACGTGCTGAGCACGGTTGGGGATCCGGTGCCATGGCTCCGAAGGCCAAGGTGCAGCGGCAAAACACCTTGCAGATTTCCGAGTGGTCGGAAGTGGAGCTTGACAAGCGCGTGCAGACGGTCATAGCTGGTAAGACATACCTTGGCACAGTGAGGTTCAGCGGACGCTTGGGATTGAACCGGCACCGGTTTTGTCACCAGCAAAAGATACAGTAAGTGTTCATTTTTTTTTTTTAATGGGACAATAGTCAGTAGTTTCTGTTTTATCACCAATGAATAACTGAAGGTGTTGGGTTGTGCTATGTTGTGCTATGGTGTTGTGATAACTGAATGTGTTTATGTTTATCTGTTTGAAAATCGTCCGTAGTTTCCACTTGTTTTATCACCAACGGATAACTGAAGGTGTTGGGTTGTGCTATTGTTGTTCCTTGCATTGGGGAGCTCAGGAAAAACGCAGTTTGCAGAAGGACATTGGATTGGCATTGAGTTGGATGAAGCTGTGGGGAAGAATGATGGCTCTGTCCAGGAGTGATGCAAGTGCCAGTTCCGGTGAGTCTTTGATGCCACAGTCCAGAGATATAACTATTTAAAGGCAGAAAGGGGTGAACTATTTCTCTGGATCATGGTTCAATAGATGTAGAAGAAGCAAGTCACAGCCATCCGAAGGTCTTCAACTAGCACATTCGCACTCGTTTGGGTGCGCACCAGGGGAGCCGCTACTTCAGCTGCCCGGCCCAGCATGGTCTGTTCTGCCGGCCGAACATCACCCGCCCTACAGCAGAAACTTCAGAGAGTGCAAATCAGACTGGAGGACTGGTGGACATCAAGAAGAACATCAAGGAGCCGTCTGGGGATGTCCGTAGGAAGATGACATGAAGAGACAGGTCGAGACAGGTCTCTTACAGGAACATGTCATTCTTCCAGTACTTCAGGTTCCAGACTCCGGGCATTCCAGTGACATGCACAAAATGGGAGATCTTTCCATGTCTGCGGCTGCGTCATTGTGGGTTGCTTTGTTTGTCACAGGTCTGGGGGTCTGGCGGTTGAGACTAGAGGTCTGGCCGTTGCAGCCCTCAATTCCAAGAACCATTCCTTTACTAAGGGCATTACACTAGAAAACCGGGTCAACCATACCCTCAAATTCCCAGAACCCAGGTCGAAGGCGAGTCCGGGAGTGTCCTGCTCGTCCCCAAAGCTTGCCGGTGGCGCCTCTGGTGGCGCCAGGGTGAACTTCTCAAGTCGCCTTCTGGGATGAAGGTCAGATGTGTCCGAGGAAACCCGTGAAACAACCGAAGCAGGAAGAAGAGACCAACATGTTCCACCAGGCGAACCTGCAGACGGAAGACGATCTTCCGTTCCGACCACTCAGCTTCTGTGGTGAGTTCAGGTTCCATGGTGATCTGGCGGATGCCCTCAGAATTGTTGATTGCATGACACGTTGGGCCCAGTTGGGCCCTTGAGAAGTCGGGATGGCACAGGGTATGCTGCGGATGCTCGTGAGCTGCGGTTTCGATGCGGATGCGGTTTGGATGCGGATGCTGAGGTTTCGAAGGGTCCTGTGCCATTGAGTTTGCTGGTTGAGGCTTCGGTGTTCGAAGCCTCTTTTCTCGTGAAGGCTCAAGGCTCGGGTCAAAAGACGGTGCCTTGAGCATTGACACAGCACCCTGCTCGCAAATAGGGATGATTCTCACATCCTGATGATTTCTCAGGCAAATGCAGTACACTTGCTACGTAGGCCATATGGTACTCTTGCTTCAGGAGATGCTGACCCTCGCGGAAGACTTGCGTGCCAAGCAAGAGGCCCTGACGTCCAGCGCCAAGCTCCAGTCGGATGTGTTGGCGCACTTGGAGCACTTGGAACGCCTCGCGCACCTGAAGATCGCCGAGGCCCCGGTCGAAGCGGTGCGCGCCGCCCCGCACCATCCGGACGACCACGACGAAGCGGGCAAGACGGGTCGCAGACTGCGGCTGAACAGTGAAGGAGGGGGTAACAAAAAGGGGTCAAGGCCTAGATCTCTTATGGGGCCATTTGAGGTTTGATGGGTTTGGATGCACATCGATGTAGCAAAGGCATTTAATCAGATGTAGGATGTAGGATGTAGGATGTAGATGATGATGACGATGATGCTGCTGCTGCTGCTGATGATGATGATGATGGAAGTTTATGTTCCACACTCATTGCTTCTACAGTGCCACACTCATCCTCAAACAACTAAACAAGCCGTCCCATCTGGGTGGTTGGCAAGAGAGGTTTTAAGGGTCCCATGGCTCGTTTCCAGTCCCATGGCTCTGTGAGGCCTCGCACGCGTGGGAGGAGACGTCTTCTGGACTGTCGCAAGAGGCGGAGCATTTGCAAGTGGGCCAGCGAGTGCACACGCGGATGCTTAAAGACAGCGCACGAACGCTACATCTTGGCACGGTGAGGTTCAATGGACGCTTATCATCTTATATTACGCACGTCCACCTTGAAAAAAGTACACCCTGGCCAAAGCTAGGCCGAGCTGATGGGTTTGGAGGTTTTGGTGAATTAAAGAAAGCTTCTACTTCGGTGAACCCGACGTTCGGAGTTTCCTCTACTTCGCGACCATCGTCGATCTGGACGGGTGCCAGCGGCATCGCGTTTTGCACGTAACAAGGGCATGGATGCGCGTTTTTTCGTTAAGACTTGCCCATCAAACCACGGATTCTTGGGCCCAATCCGCTTGAAACGGTTTACACCGAATCCGCCGGAAAATCATGGTGTTTTCGACCACCAAATCCACCGAAAAGACCGGGGCAAGACGTGCTGAACTAAGAGTGTTGGAAGATCGTAGGCAAGACATATCAGTGAACGCTTGCTTGAAAAATGCACTGGACATATCAACAACAAGAGTGTTCATTGATTTCTTATTGAACATAGCTGCGTAGCTTCCACTTATTTCATGACCTGTGAAATGCCGTACACCAGGTTTCATGACCGCCTGTCTTTTCCGGCTGGGCGCCCAGCCCTGGGCTGAGGAACGACGCACTTTGCTCCGGGACCATGGATTGGCATTGAGCTGGATGAGCCGGTGGGCCTTGAGGATGGCTCCGTCCAGGATCGCCCGCGGCATGGGCAACCGATGGCACGGGCACCGGCTCGGTGGTTGACCTTAAGATCACTGGGCAACATCAATGGCTGTGCCAGAAACATAAGGTTTGGATCACACACCCAAACCCACACACGATCCATACATCGATCCATAGGGTATGGATCAAAAGGTTGGTGTGTGATCCAAGGGCCTGGATCACATGGTTTGGTTGTTGTTTGGTTGCAGGAGGGCCCCATTCCTAGAGGTGATCCATGTAGCTAAAAGCCAGAACAAGGATCAAGAAGACAAAGAAGAATAGTAATAGCAATAATAAGACGAAGGTAGAAGGACGAAGAAGAAGAAGAAGAAGAAGAAGAAGAAGAAAGAAGAATGAGAAGAAGAAGAAGAAGAAGAAGAAGAAGAAGAAGAAGAAGAAGAAGAATGAATAAGGAGAAGAAGAATAAGAAGAAGGCAGAGCAAGAAGAAGACAAGCGAGCAGGAAAACCCAGAAGCAGCAAGAAGACAGAAGAAGCATGAAGAAGCAAGAGAAAGAAGAATCAAAGAAAAGAACAAGGGTTCTTGGCCATGCCCGCATGTATATTCAAGGGGGTGTACCCCTCTCAATATACATTTCCCGATCCCCAGATGTCATTTCCGGGGACGGGATTTTATAATACGTTCTTTGTACTTGGAAGTTATAAGTTGATGATTGTGAGTGTCCCCCGCCCCGTTTCATGATATGCTATGAACAATGTATGTTCTGCATTGATGCATGCCTTTTCTCTATGTTCAACCTGCCCTGATCGAAAATGCGTTTTCAACACCTGCTCCCACCCCTTCTGCATACATTATATTAGCAGAAATGTATGACATCCCCCCCTCCCCTTTTCGGAGATGGACCGGGTGATACCCTAAGCATCATTGGATCCGACCTTCGGGTTTTGACCCGACCAGTTCGCGTTTTGAAGGACCCGAAGCTAACAGGTCTTCACCTTCGAGGGTCCCTGATTCTCAATAGGGGCACCAGTGGGAAACCACCCACCAATGGGCTGTGGTCTTTGTTCTAATCATTTCTCATCATTTCCTGGTAGGGAGACCAATACTTTCTGGACATAAACGACTAAACATCAAACATACTCTTGCTTGACCGTTTTTCTGTACATCACAAAACTCTTTTATCCGATGCTTATAACATACATACATACATACATACATACATACATACATACATACATACA